TGCGAGAACCCCTGTCCGCTTCCGATCAGTGGTGCACCTGGGGCTCCCACAGCGAAAAAAGTCTTCGCGCTGCGAAAAGAGGAAAGTAGCTTTCTGTCCTAGCGAATCACAACTTAAAAGAATGGAATTATCAGGGGTGACTAAGGGAGGTTCCGGGAGGGATGGAATCATAATGAAGCTTCATAAGAGTTTTTCGAGAGACAATTTATCAAATGGATCTTGCAAAAAATGGTTTGTTTCAGGCTATGAGGTTTCTGGTGTTGTAGAATCGTTTGGTACTGAGAGTACTCCTGAAGAATATGACTTGAAGATCGGCGACAAGGTTTGCGAAGTTCTATACTATAATTTCCGGGCAGTTGTAATTAGCGTGGTCAAATTGATCTGGGTGCGCTTTGAAGACAACTGATCTTTCATCGAATGTCGTTTGCTTCGAATGAGGATCTTCTAGAGTTGGTCGTCTCTGACTAGTTCATTTTGTTCAGGTCATTGTATGGCCAACTGATGAGATGTGTAGCCACGGATATGCCGACTATGTTGCTGTTCCTACGCTCCATTTCCTTGTCAAGATACCTGATTCACTGTCAATGCACGTTGCTTCGATTCTTCCCGCTGGGGCTACTTGGGCGTTGAGTGCAGTGCTGCAGGTATAGTTACTCGAAAGGGTTCAGTACTTGTGGGCTTGTCCTCTATTTCCGCATACTCGAAGGATTTTTATAAAGTTCTATTTTCTTTTCAAGGCTCGACCAATTGTCGATGCGTTCGCGCAGTCGAAAGGATTTTGCAACATTTTAATCGTGGGTGCTGGTGGTCTTGGACTATGGTTGCTGAAATTGGCAAAACACTTCCTCGTTGCTCATAATGATAAGTATGTTTACAATTTTTTACATTTATTTTTTTATTGAAGGATAGAGTATTCGGTGTAGACCATTTCCTTTTGCAATGCGCTATTCTAATTACTTTCACTCAAAATAGTAGCATTAGAATGACGCGAAGCGGTTTGACCTGATGATTTGTGTCCAATGACATTTCCTACTACCGATCGAAGGGATTGAAGGCTTGACTGGTCTGAATGAGATTCGGTCCGGGTTCTCACGTAGGATCATGCAAGCATGCACCTTTGCCTCTCAGAGATTTGAAGTCTAATGTCTTTCTGCTTCGGAACGTGATATT